ACACGTTCCAAAAAAAGAATTCAGCTGGTAAATTTTTTGATGAACCGTAATTGAGAACTATTTCTACTTAACTCGTACGGATAAGTTTCTTTAGAGGTAATAATAAGCATAATGTTCTCACGTTAATTACTAAAAACAACAAAGTGAAGTCAAATTGTATATCACTTACAAGTTCGACCTGTAATGAGGTACTTTCTGTTCATCTCTAGAAGATAGAAAAGGCAGGGGAATGACATTTGGTTGAGCTATGACAGTGTACGAATAAACATGTTCTTCGCATGCGTCCGTTCAAATAAAACTCATCAGTTCATGAATCAGTTTAAGGATTACAAAGTATATTGGAGCATTAGATTCCACACACAGCGCTTTCCGAAGTTGGCAATGTGAACTAAAGACCTGAAATTGAAGTTGAGAAAACCTTCATAAATGAAGGAAAATTAAAACCTGTTCATCGTCGTATCGTTGTACGGTTTTAACACAAATTTGCAAATCCCATCGACATTTAAATTCATCACAATCTGGAACGTACAATTAGAATGAAAAAAAAAACTTGCTTTTCTTTACCAAATGCAATTACTTTCCAAAGACGAAGAACATCATTTGCATTGCAAACCGTATCGGACACCTGAGGTCATAGAAAAAAAACTCATTTATTTAAAGAATATTATTAAAGAATAAACTGTACACAAAACAATATTCACTGCAAATGCTAAGCTTGGAAGCATCGGCGACGGTGACAGAGAAGCAAGAATGTTGTATTTTCTGATGGAAAGTACACACGAGAAAAAATGTCACAAACGAGGCAGAAACTATACCCTTTCTTCTATAAAATTATAAAAAACAAAGGGAGAAATTTCATATTAAAATGACTTATCGTAAAGGAAATAGTTCTTTATTTTCATGATTGATCCCAACGCTGCTAAAGCCTCTGCCACAAATCAAGTAGTACGTATACCACAAAGTACGTAAAAAATAATAAATTGATAGTGCGTGTAATACTGATTGTGCGACATAAGAATTACAGTTGAGTAATAAAGTGGAATTTACTCATCTGGCACGTGGACATGACACCGTGGATAAACTAACCTATGTTTTGACAATACAAATAAATTTCTAAGACCACTCGAAAATTCGTGTAACGCACCGGCGTCGCACCGGAATTGATCGTTTCTACCTTCTGCACAAACCCAGACAGGTTTTCCTCATATTTTCATATTTAAATCAACTTGACGCACATGACGAAATCAAATCATAAAGTTCGGGAGTACAGCAAATATGGCCAGCAACTTTAGTTTCAAGAAAATCATTTTTGATTAACCTGAATCATGCATGAAAAAAAACACATAATTACATATGCAAAGAATGCGATTGACCCGCCTGATTTGCATACACGATTCTCAACAGAAAATTTGTCACAGCGTCGCCTGATGATAGAAAATACGATATGAATAACCATGGAATAATTCATAAAGTTTATAGATCTAAATGAGCAGCAGAAGGAAATCAATCAGAAGGTCAGCGTGGAGCGGCAAGCAATCATCGGTGTTATCAAACGCCCAATGATACCATTATAGAAGCAATAATGTTAGAATAATACAATTTATTGGCTGCATTCTACAATTTAGAATATGTCATGACCTCATTCGCATTAGTACAATCAGAATTTTAAAAAATCCAAAGAAGAAAATGCAGGTAAAAAAATTCTTACCTATGTTTAGGTGACACAGAAGGCTAGTCTATAAAAAACGTTACGATGCTAGTGAACATTGGAAAGGTTCACACTCAATGAATTGCGAATGAAATACAACACTGACATGATTATATTGGACAAAATTGCATTGGCGCACTAAATTTATTGCAAGAATTAATCAGGAATATTTAATGACACGAAAAATTAAAAGGAATTCTGAGGTAATTAATCTCACGTAATACCGGCATTGCGGTAATAAAACGACACGACAATAACGAATGATAAAATTAAACTTTTCAACCAGCTAAGTAGATTGATGGGAAGTAAAACCCTAATGATATTAAATTACATCCATTTTCATTGCTCAAACATGTATACAAATTGCATGAAAATACATCTTATCGCAATATCCACAAGCTACTCTTCTCGTGCTCTCATGTTTCAGCGGTTGTGTCACAACCCCGTAGTAAAAAGTTACATAGATAAAAAAACTTACGATAGATAATAATGCGAAAGTAGATAACTCAAAAAACACGAATGCGACGAAGATACCTTAGCGTTCAAACCACTGGTTTTTAAGCTATTGCTGCGTTATCTTTCGGAGCTGTATATTAAAGTTTATAAAGTATCATTTATCCACACGTTTCAATTGCAATAACATGAAACTGGTTACAAGCTTCTTTCGGAATTTTAAATGAGGGTGACAAGGAATTAAAAGCTACAGGTTGAAACGCAAAAGTGAAACAGAAGAGCTTCAAGCTTGCACGGAAGCTACACGTATCGTCTGTAAAAGGGACAAATAGCAGAAATGTAAATTGCGGCATGAAAAGTTTTTACAACTTTTTAATTTTGATGTTGGCATAGGAGATTTGACCCAGTCAGGCATGCCACCGATTCTGGAAACAGAATTTTAGCACCTAGCTGGAGCTCGAACCCGCAACTCGCTGCTCTAATGGCCATAGAGCTCTCAATTAATAGTAACGTAGAAGATGTGCGTTTTTTATCATTTTACGTTACTGAGCCTGACATTTAAAACAAAATTTAGCATAGAATAAACATTACAAATAAATTGTTGGCAAAAATGTGTTTGGCTGAGCTGGTTAACCAAGTCACAATTTACCACTTATTTTTCAGCAAAAAAGGAACAGACTTCGTTTTCCATTATCTCGGTACACACGAAGCTGCTTTTTTTCAACAGAGCAAATTATTATTAGCAAAATTATTGTACTGAAAACATCGACATGTGGAATGATAAAACAAAACTGACTTCGCATACAATGCAAAAATAACATCGCATCATAGCCTCAGCCCAAAAACAATTTGATCGCTAAAAATACCACTAAACTTTAGAGAATATAAGACAAGCATATAAAAGACCCTACACAAGGAACAAACTCCTCGAAAACATGGAATTTAAAACAGAAATGAGTTGCACATATTCGAGATCTAGGGAAATATGCATGAGCATAACGGATAATCATTCGCTAAAACTAATAATAATCACTGATCGTATATTCGCCCTTCCTTCACCAACACCGCATGGAATGAACACAAGAAATTACGAAGAAAGTAGCATTTGTCACACATGTTTTGACGTAATAACAAATGATATATGCAAAACCATTTAATAAAAGCTCATAATAAGCCAAGAATATTTGCAACGGCTTAAAAATGTTTAGGATAGAATTAAATGTTCCAATTTGTGAATTTTTATAGCGATTGGGAACAAGATCAGAATTAAAAGGCAGAAACAAGTAGTAACATTTCTGCGAGGGGTAACCTGCTTATTATTTAATCATATTATCAACTTGGATAACGCGTATACTGGAGATGCTTGTCCTATGGTTCGATTCTCAGTTACTTTTACGACAGGCGAAATCTGCAGAATTTTGGAGTGGTAATAGACATCAAATTGTCAATAGTAGTATAAATGCTACAAGGAAGCGCTGGAAGAAAATGATCCTAAAAACGTAACTTTACTGGAATATTTTCTCGTGAAAAGATCAAGAAGAGATCCTAAATATTAAGGCAAGCAAGGCTAATAACAAGCTGACCAATGCCACCACTTAAAAGTCAACGAGAAATATAATACACAAAAGAGAAAGCAAGCAAGAGCTGAATTAAGTAATAGAGCTCAACAAGCAGTGAAATTTCTCCACTAACATTACACTTCCCCCATAAACTATCAACTCGTCAATTTATTTTCGGCTCTTAAATAAATTTTTGCGTCATTTACATTCTTCAAATGACGAGACAAAAGGTTTTTGGTTCATTTAAATTTGTCGTCTCAAAATGAAATTTGAGCCAATAAGAGCTTTGAATAAATTTAATCTTGACAAGATTCGGAACTTGAATTATTAATTAACCAGATTCTTTGCTATATGTTTTTTATGATATAATATGTAGCTTGGTTTTTCTTCATCCATGCAATTCTTTGCAAAGTTTTAAATCATAGAAGGCAGCAACGAAGCGTGACTCCAATGACCGTGATACAAACGTCATTGAATTAATAAGTTATTGGTGTATAGAAGAACACAAACAACGCAGCGCTTGGAAACGTAACGCAATTAAACTAAAGAAAGAACTTAAATTATCTGAATTGTTCGTATTTACCCTAATACTACGACATATAAGTCATGTAAACAACCTACAGAAACACATCTCAATCGATAATAACTGTAGAAAGAGCATCACTAAGACATAGACATGGATTGAACACACGCGAATATAGGATATAATACAAAAAACTGATTCCTAACTGTGATACTGGGAAGATGAGCATGTAGGGTTAAAGTGAAATTGAACCATCAGATGTTAGTTGGATACGGGCAATTAATTCAGCGGCTAATTCATTTTCATTTCATAGCATCAAGGACTACTACACACAGGACATGCATAGCCTATGTCCAGCCTCTGCTAGCAGAGGCGATCGCCTACACTATGAAAATGCTGGTGTTTTAGTGGCATCAACAAATGATATGCCCATAATTGTTTCATACAATAGTATTACAATGACCAAGGACTACTACACACATTGTAATACTATTGTATGAAACAATTATGGGCATATCATTTGTTGATGCCACTAAAACAACAGCATTTTCATAGTGTAGGCGATCGCCTCTGCTAGCAGAGGCTGGACATAGGCTATGCATGTCCTGTGTGTAGTAGTCCTTGCATAGCATCAATATTTGTTCTGGTATCCAATTTTTCGCTTGTGGTCACCAAATGCCACGTGAACAAGCCAATAACAAACTATAACAAAATCACACAATTACAACTTCTCCAATCCCAGTCTCAAATCGCACTGAAAAAAAAAAATAATTCTTGACATCGCTGAAGTAATATCGACGCAAAAAGTTTCCTTTCCTCTGCATCCAGCAGAGCTTTATTGTGCCTACTTCCGGACCAACGAAGCTTAAATGTGAAGCTTACTTAGGAAATGATGTGCTCGTAAGATAAAGTAAGTTTAATTTCTATCCTGGAGTTATTTATGAAGAATAAAATTGTTTTTGTGCGGACATAGTAGCACAGATGAGACACTGAGAGCGACTACAAAGTGGTACTAGAAAAACTACTAAAAATGGCTTGGGGACCTGCAAGGTAATATGGCCAAGAGTATATAAATAAACTTCCAAGGCACCGTACAGATTGTGTCGTTCTTCATTAGAATTTGCGCTTTGTTATGTGCTTGCAACCCACCGTGGATGCACTCAACTCGGCCAGCTTATAGCACTATTTTGAAGGAATAAAGGCACATGGAATATTGTGCTAATGGCACAACACGAGGGACATTGAAAGGTCACTTTGGCACTAGAAATTGGCAACCAAAGAGGTAACAAACCAATGCATCTCAAGCCAATAGGTCATACACATGAAACGTACGAGTGGCCGAATCAAGAAAGCCCTTATTACTATTGTGGTGCCAAATTATAGACGAACAATAGGTCATCAATAGGCTGTAGGCTTGCTAACTCGAATAAACTAATTTCAAAGGTAAATATTTATACACAACCCATCGCTGTAAGATGAAGCTTAGAAAATATTGCCACAGCAAACTTTCAGTCGTTATTTATTACTTATAAATCTGCAGAGAAGTTGAAGCCTTCATGACAATTAAGGGCTGAGTACTACAACGAGGTGATGGTGCGAAGCAGAGACACTAGATTAAAACAGGATGAGGGTTCCAATTTCTTTCTTTAAATTGACCATTCCAAACGTCCCGAATCAAGTTTTCAAATAGAAAAACAATAAGTTTGGAGAATATGCTGCAGTGAAACTTTTTCAAGCTATTTTTACGAAACCTAGTGAAACAGCGCGAATTAGAAAATATTAATTCAACATCACATCTCTACATGAAATGAGACAAATCATGAATGAACAACCAATCAGAGCATGAGCAAAATCAACATGTTTAAGACTCCCGACTCGTGGCAGAAGAGATGCAAGGCCACGTCAAGGCGAAGAGAATTGATAAGTTGTTAGTAGAGGCCGCAGTCCTTCAAGCTGTTCTTCATGATCACGTCAGTCACAGCGTCGAATACGAACTGCAAAAGGATGAAGGTTCAGTTAATAATGTAAAGGAATAAAAGGAAGAACAGTCACAGCGTCGAATACGAACTGCAAAAGGATGAAGGTTCAGTTAATAAAGTAAAGGAATATAAGGAAGAACAGTCACAGCGTCGAATACAAACTGCAAAAGGATGAAGGTTGAAGTTAATGAAGTAAAGGAATATAAGGAAGAACAGTCACAGCGTCGAATAAGAACTGCAAAAGGATGAAGGTTCAGTTAATAAAGTAAAGGAATATAAGGAACAAATGCATAGAAACAGTAGGCAGTTGTAATAAATTTATCTGAAATGACACCTGTATGGTCCTTGCTGTTTAGTTTCATATCAAGTTTGAATAAAACATTACCTATCCACTGATAGCATCGCAGAACAGAAATACGACGTCAAGTTTTTCATGTCATTTAAATTATAACTCTAGTTGCTGATAAACTATTCTGCTGCTATTACCAGAAAAATATAATTTTCATCACATAAAATTCACTGGCTACTTTGCTAGACTCTATGACCGATATAAAATGGGAGTTCAGATGCCATAGAAATATGAAGACTTCTCAGTAGGTATATATTTGGGACTGAAGAAGAGGAATATACTCAGTATATATTGCAGCATATGTTTGGGACTGCACAGCACGAGAGAAATATTTTTTGGCACTGCACTGCACGCATATTTTTTGGCACAGGGAAATAATTTACCTGGATGTTGTTAGTGTCAGTGGCGCAGGTGAAGTGAGTGTAGATGTCTTTAAGTCCTCTCCTCTTGTTAAGATGCTCGAACTTGTCTTTGATGTAAGTCGACGCCTCAACATAGTTGTTGTTGCCTGTTAAGAGAAAATGTATCATTTGGTGCCTTGGAAAGATATAATCATTGTTCATTACACAGCCTTAGCTACTCCACTACGAGTATTTTTCTAGGCAGTTAAACTCATAGCACACCCGAGCGGTTTATTTGCAAAATCAAGCCCTTAGTCAGACGACTGAAAAACGACGTGAAGCGTTAGGAAAATCTAACAGAATGTTTTTCTAAATCTGCTTATTAGCTAGGCAGACTAAATCTGCTAACTAGCTAGGCAAACTAAATCTGCAAACTAGCTAGGCAGACTAAATCTGCTAACTGGCTAGGCAGACAAAATCTGCTAACTAGCTAGGCAGACTAGATAAGAAATACTTGTTGATACCAAACGTAGAGTGCAAGACTCACCAAGATAATCACCACAATACTCACCCTGAACCTCACCAAGTGACGAGTGCAAACTCGCCACAATATGCACTTTAATACCCACCAGGAGACTCGTCAGAATACTCATCATGATTCCAGAATACTTACCAGAACGCTCGCCAGAATACTTACCAAATTTCGAGAGCATAACTCACCAGGGTACTCAGGGAAGCAGATGGTGAGAGGAGAGCGAGAGATCTTCTCCTCGAAGAGATCTTTCTTGTTGAGGAAGAGGATGATGGAAGTGTCCACAAACCATTTGTTGTTGCAGATCGAGTCAAAAAGCTTCATGGACTCGATCATGCGGTTCATTTCTTCATCCTCTGCTAATACAAGATCGTAGCCTGGAATACAGCAAACAATTATCCACCATTCATAAAGGTTGTAATACAATGCAAGCACTAATCGAATTTGAAATAATAGAAACCATCATCAATTCATTAAGTAAGAGCTATTAATTTCCTACTTAGGCATATTATTTATATGTCTAAGTAGGAAATGATCGAGGAGAATATGATCATTGCCTTCACAACAATTATTTACTTACGGTTACACAAGAACAGTCATTCATCTAGACCAAAACAATCAGCAATCAAAAAATTATTTCTCATAATAATCTCTTACAATATAATTACCGCACACAATATGACAATCCAACTTCAATATCGACACATAAACCTATTAGATTAACGAGTCGGCCATCAAAACTCGCTTATGGACTGATAATCGATAAGATTAATAATTGAAATAAGTTCTCAAGACCGTGCCAGCGGTCTCACCTGACATGGCCACCACAAATATGATGGCCGTGACCCCCTCGAAGCAGTGAATCCATTTTTTCCGCTCAGACCGCTGCCCTCCAACATCAAAAAGTCTGAAATTTGCAAAATATCACATAGAAGCATCAAAGAATCAATGTAAACTGGCATTAAAAATCAATTAAAAAACACAGTTAAATGATGTCTAGAAAGGATAGTATATAATTATAAAACATCCGATACAAAAATGGTTGATTGATGTCTAGAAATGTCGTGTATTTGTATTTAAAGATCTAATACAGGGTGTTTCAGAATTAAGTAACCCTTTTAATTTGTTAATAAATAAAAAACTAAGAACGTTATGAAGTTGAAACTTGTTTTATTTAAAAGAAACAATATTACCATGAAAATGTTCTTCTTTTAAATAAAACAAGTTTCAACTTCATAACATTCTTAGTTTTTTATTTATTAACAAATTAAAAGGGTTACTTAATTCTGAAACACCCTGTACAAACATAGTTGAATAACTCCTGGAAAAGTTATATGTATTAATGATCAAAAATAAACACAGTTAAATGATGCATAGAAAGGCTTGTATTTTTTGTATTAAATGATTCAATACAAACAGAGCATATGAACTCTCTCTTGTAACATACTTGAAATTGAGCTCCCTGATCCAATACAAAGAGGTCCCAATACCCCAATATAACCAGACTGACTATGTAACAAAGAGATAATATGAAGGGAGACCCAAAAATAAACGGACCGACAGTATGGTGAGCGAAGTTTTAGTAGTACGGCATTCTCCTAGTATGTGCATATGTTACTGACATCCCTCAGCGTGCCACCCTTCACGGCTCTAGATGCCCATGTTCCACTACCGCAAATATTTTTGTGGCCCTTCTTTTGGGCGCTTCTCGTTTTTTGATGGCTGATTTTCGTGAGTAACGTGCTGCCATCTAATTTTGCTTTCTTTTGTGAAAAACTGGCAAGGAAAAGCTACAGACAACAAACCAGGGGTTATGCTATGGGGAGAACTTAAGTTTTGCATTTTCAAAAAAAAGGGAAAATGCCATTTGATGATCAACCTCGCTCAGGTCGTCCTTCCACTTATCGTACTGAAGGAAATGTTGAAGAAATTATGGACCTAACACCTGAATATCGACTTAGAAGTATAGATGAGCAGGCGGAACTGTCCCAAGTGACTTTGAGTTCACTCCAGAAAATTCTGACAGAATATTTTTCCTCAATAAATAAACCTTTAAAAAATTAGTCCTTTTTTGGGGGATCCCCCCACATATGCAGGCAGTTCTCCCATAGGTGACATACTTGAAGTTGAGCTTCCTGAAGGAGAAGTTGGTCTCAACAATGCCGGTAGTTTTGACACGGGTGCGCAGGACGTCCTGTTGCGTAGGCACGTAGTTGCTGCGCGAGATGCGGTCCAGGGCGTTCAGGTAATACGAGGCGCTGTCGTTCAGCTGGTACTCTCGTGACCGTCTGCCAAGAGATGAACAGTATTAGATATCGATGATAATAATAATAATATTAATAATATCAGGTAATACGAGGCGCTGTCGTTCAGCTGGTACTCTCGTGACCGTCTGCCAAGAGATGAACAGTATTAAATATCGATGATAATAATAATAATATTAATAATATCAGGTAATACGAGGCGCTGTCGTTCAGCTGGTACTCTCGCGACCGTCTGCCAAATGATTAACACTATTAAATATCAATAATAATAATAATATTAATAATATCAGGTAATACGAGGCGCTGTCGTTCAGCTGGTACTCTCGTGACCGCCTGCCAAGAGATGAACAGTATTAGATGTATTAAATATTGATGATAATAACAATAATATTAATAATAGAGATAAGGTAAACGTAGAGATGAAATGTATTAAATATTGATGATAATAATAATAACAATGATAATAATAAGAGAGATAAGGTAGACGATAATAGGATTGAATATTTGAATATTGATTGCGCCCAGTATTTGGAATGGAGTAAATAGAATTGAATATCAATAATAAAAGTGTGGAAAAGGTAAAAGGAATTGAATATTAAGAAATTTAGAAATAACCCTGGCACTTGAAAGAAAGTTAACAGGATTGAATATTTAGAAATAACTCTGGCACTTGAAGGAAAGTTGACAGGATTGAATATTTACGAATTATATTTACAGGATGCATAAAAATCGGTAAATCATTAAAATTAAAAATGAAAGTGATGACATTTAATTTTATACATAATAAGAATTTAAAATTGACCTTTGAGATTAGTAAGTGGATTTAAATTAATAAATGATTGACATCTAAAGCAAGATAAATGACTCAAAATAGATACAATAAAAATGAATAAAAAACACATGCGTCATTCAATCTTTTGAATGTTGGGTACAATCTGTTAGTACTGTATTCTTCCAATTATTAATCAAGTTAATGAAACAACTGATAGACGTGACACCGCCATTAAGCCTGCGGATGACGGAAATCACCTACATTTGAAATCACAGAAAGAGAAATAGTTAACTAAGATTAAATGGCTGCAGGGTGTCCAAAAAAAATGACACAGGTCAAATTTAAATTGCTTGTCAGCAACAAACGTGATCAAGAATCCTTGCAAAGTCAATTTGCAACAAGCGGTACAGACACAGGTCCTTCATACTCCTACCAACGCTAGATTGAACAAAATTCATAATTGCATCTTGAACAAGATAGGAGCACACAGTAATTGCATTACTGTATTTAAATGGCATATATTTGAAAAACTAAAAATTGCATACTAAAATAATTATTTATGTTTCACATATTTAACTACCAAACCTTGCCAATTTTAGGTTGCAACAATACCGACTGGAAGCAATGCAGAATACCAGCATCATGCCACAGTTTAGTACCATAAATCACATGGTACTAATGAGATTAGATATTTAACCACTGCACATATTTACATGGCCACACTAAATATTGCACATAGTATTTAACCATACTAAACAAGACCCACTGGAAGCAATGCTGCACACCAGCGCTGTGCCACAGTCTGATACTATGAATCACATACTAATGAGCTTAGTTATTTAACCACTGCACATATTTCAGCATACTAAACAATACATAGCCAAACTAAATAACTAAACCATACTAAGGCACGGGAAACAAGACGCACTGGAAACAATGCTGCACACCAGCGTCGTGCCACAGTCTGTTCATGATGTGTGCCAAGTCTAGCGTCATCTCCCCCTCCTCTGTGGCACTCGCCATAGTGAAGAACTGCCGTGCATCGTCCTGTCAGAACAAAAAAACGCCTAATAGTGATACGGATACAGGATTATAGTATCATCCTAGTTATAGTTATTCTCATTAGTATGATAATAAATAACTAATTAATTTAATTAATAAATTATTAAAGCCTAAATATTATTATGAACTACATTACAATATGTCATTGGGTTGTTTTCATAAAGTAATTACAAAACGTAATGCAATATATGACACAACTAAGGTATTTTTTAAATACAGTTGTTGCTAGCAGGCTATGGTGAATATTGTGATAAAATCCATGGTTATTTTATTATTCATTGTTCTGCACAATCTTCTAATTAACAAAACTACCACCATTCCACCAGAATTTAATTTTAACAAGTTTTTTTTTATGGAAGAATAATGAACCAAACACAACAATATGGTTTATCACAAGTACCTACACCATATTCTTTTGAGGAACTGCACAATTGGTTTAAATTGTACTATCATTTTATCCCATTCATATTTGCTAGTTCCTTAAAATGCTTCAATTGCATTAATTCCATTTTTCATTTATTGAGCTTACACCTATGGTCCAGTAATGTTCTTTGAATTTATTTTAATATAGGTTTGAATTTATTTTAAAAATAGACATTTTTCTAATTGACAGAAGTTAATATTTTGTTTAAAATTTACAACATTAAAAACTATAATTTATAATTAATAAAAATATATATATATATAGGTATAATTTCAAAGCTTACAGTTCTTGAGGGATCACCAAACTCAATCTTGAGTTGCCCCATAGCCCGTATGATGGCCATGAGGCTCTGAATGGTGTTGCTGTAGACGACTCGTCTGTATTGTTCACACTCGTCTTGTGAGTATCCAGTTTCATGGATGATCTTCATCTGTTTCACTATTGTGCTCTTGCCACTCTCACCAGCCCCTGAAAAACATATTGATCAGTAGCTGCTCACACATTTATAGGCATTAATTTACAAATCAATAATTTTTTTATTGTCTAGTTTATTGCAAATTTGAAAGTAGTTAAAAAATTGAAAGATGAAAAAAGTTATCACCAGCTTTAAGACAGATTTTTTATACATTTTTTTGCATGTTTAATCCAGCAAAACCATCCATGCAAAAGAGGTTGAGCAATGATACAATAAAATTTGATGACAAAAATGTATATTTCTGAGTCATTATCCAATTTAAATAATAACTTATGAGAAAGTGATATGGTACAGTTGCCTCAAGAAAATTTTGTGATAAAAACTTTGTTCTACATACATTGCCTTGGGAAGTGGAAATACCTATGAGTATATAAATCAAACAAACTAAGAAATCAATACCACAAAATTCCCGAGATACTTACCTAACAGTAGTAGCTTGACCTCCCTTTGAGCCTTTTCTCCTTCCATCCTTAGGTCTTTGTCAATTTTTTTGCTCCTTTCCAGAGCTTCTCTGTCAGCAGTTGTACTTACAGCGCAACCCATTGTGCTCAATCAACTAGTCTAAACAATTAAAAGCAATGAAAATATTTAACTCAGTGATAACTTCTTATAAAAGCCCTGATCAATCAATAGGTTATGTCTATTTCTTTTTAATCATCTATACAGAAAACAAACATGAAATGTAGAAAATTATTAGCTCCGGAACTGTTGCCTCCAGCAACCAGATCTGCATACTAACATGTTGAGGAATGCCAACAGGTTATAAAAATTATGCAGGCTAAAATGGACCTAATTTCAATGTCACTCTTATGTTCTCAACTACCTTTATTCAATAGACAGAACAAAAATGCCCCTGCTTGTGGAAAATTTCATCATGCTTATCCTTATGGCTCTTGCCTAATCTTTTTAAGACAATTCAGAAAAAGTGGCACAATTTTGCCTGCTATTTTCAAACATCAGCCATTGTTTTTTCTCCATGATTTTTCAGAAATTCTGCACAATATTCCAGATTGGATGTTAGGAATGGTGCTTCATATATTGAAGATCAATCCAGCACAGTATTAACTAAGATGCAGAAAGTGAATAAATATCTAAAGGTCTTTGGTAACACATCAGAGTCAAGTTCTATGTCTTGGGAAGATCCTACAGGTTTAGGTACTTCTGGAATTTGTCAACAAAGCCTTAAGGGGAGCATCTGGCCAAAATGTTTGGATTTTGACATTTACGGTTTTTAGTCTCATCTTTAAGCTGACATTCTGACCTATCCAACGGTACCAAAATCATCTCTGTACGTTGATTTATGCATTCACGACAGATACTGAAAGGGTGGGGGGGGGTGTAGTTCTTCAACATTTAAGATAGGCAGAAATTCCCGGCAGCATGCATAAATAGCTAGTCAAAGCAGGATGTGTTTCAGTTATCCACTTGCAGTTGTACGGGAAGATTTGAGCTCCGTTGTTCACACCATCCTTGACAGAGAATGAGCTACAGTATCTTCTAGTCTTGCAACCTTGCACCCTTGAATGCCGATTTCAAGGCGCCCAGGACTTGGTCGGGCTCTACTGAACAATCACACTTATTGTCACTGGAAAACTATCTCCTCCTACAGTTTTCAAGCTACAGCAATGAGAGATATATATATATACATACCATTCAATTTTCAAATAAAAGATCTAGAGATTGGTCATTCACTTTTTGGAATTGCATTATAGTTTTTATTCTATTTAGTAAAATAGAACACACATACAGTCAGAAAATTAGTAGAGTTTGGAGTCAAAAGAAGAAAAATGTAACTCAGTACTCACTGCAGTGAGTGACAGAGTGCGCATTTTCTTGTCAACAAAAATGTGAAGTCAGCCTGACTTCACGTTAGTCAGGGACAGACAGATAGACAGATGGACATTGCGAGCACAATAGTGCATTTTTTCCATAAATGAGAATATGTGCTAAAAAACAACAGAAGTTAAAACCTAAATTTACAGGCAAAGGACAGAATTATAAAGAAATATCTATTCACAATTTCTAATGGATAAGAACTGTAGGAAACATTTAAAACATTCTTCTCTTTTAAAATATACAATGATGCCAAGATGCGCAGATCAGAAGCACCAGAACTATAAGCTAAAACCTTAAAGTCAGTGTTGGACACCGGAACGTGGCACTGTTTGGCGTGAGTGCGCACAGCAGAATGAGGAGATCGCAATAGTAACTGCCCAGTCCTATTACTTTTCCTTTTATGGCAATTTATGCTCAGCGACCCTAGGGCCACTCAGGAAGATGTATATAAACGGGGAAATTTCTCACGTAAATCAATCTAATTATATTTTTTTGTGCAGGCGTTCGTGCAAATCACGGTCATCGATTCCGCGCCGCGCAGCACTCGGCGTGGGCCGCGGAGCCGTCCGACACAGTTTTCATCTGAATGGAATGGCAACATCGTCTGTTGATGATTTCAAGTAACGCTGAACCAGCATTGCCAGATGGTACATTTCTATACCAGATTTCATAAATCTGGTATTTTCAGAAGGTGTCTGGTATGAATATTTTAGATCTGGTATATATGCCTAAATCTGGAATTTTTCTGGTATTTTCTGACTTACTGCAAATTACTGCATTAAGTTCCACCTCTGAAGTTTGAAATTCCTCCAGCATAGGCGTGGATTATATAGATTGCCTTCAGAGCGGCGCGATTAGAGCTTTCCCGCCATTTTTGGAACCACAAGTTTACCGCAAGTTTTCATGTCAACCGGAACTCGAACACCACAGCAGAGAGTATTTTATGCAGCTAATGAATTTCGCAAACTTTGCTGGAAGTGAGATTATTGAATTTTAGAAAAAACGCGGGATAGTTCAATGAAGGTTGGTGGAAGAGCTGCAATCTTGATACTCTATTGTGATTCGTGCTATGATAACCTACGTAACAATTTTCATATGATAGTTAAAATTTTTGCACATTCAAAGTACACATGACATAACATAACGCACCCAGATTTGGAAACCATTATTGCTCAAATGAAGCAAAAATAAACGACAGACCATTGACTTATCTTGCAAATATACATATTCATATTATGTATCACATAGCATAATTACGCTCTGTAATTATGCCATATTGACCTAATTTGTATAGTCCATTTACGCGCATTGTTATTAGGTATTGATCGTGTCGATTTTGCCGGCCGGGAGGATGTCGGTAATGTAGTCCCAACATTGGCATGCAGGATCGTACTGTTGACATACAGGTTCATGCCCTACTTGCTGCAACCAGTCCAGTCATTCATTAGAAGGCACCGATGGCACATCAACAAAAGCCATGTTGCCTTCTTTAGTTCTGTAATTCATGTCCGATTGAATTGTGATCTATGAATGAATATTCATTACTGTGCTGACTCTTAGAACCTGACCAGGTCTCATAGTGTGGCACGAGAGTCGTTGTAAAATTTATCTCAAGGTCATCTGGTCGTTGAACAACCGCATGCCAGTCGATAGTCGATAGGATTTATGCAGTCGATAGTCGATAGGTTTCTTCAGTAGTTCGATAACTTAACAATGAAAACACTAGTCGTAAATAATGAGATAACCTTAAGTCTATGTACATAATATTCTTTATATACAACAAACACCTAACAGATAACGCATTAATGGTTTAATTTTTTCAAACCAGCGGTGCCTTCTTAGCCTCTTAGGTTTCTTTACTAACGAATTCACCGCTTCACCTCACCATAAATATTGTGCGTAAACAAATGCAAGCTTTCCCTAAAATACGGAGGTCACACCTTACTCTTATCCAGAACTGCTAACTCGGTTTTAAATACTCAATCACCAGAATTATCAAACCTCAACTCTATTTAATATATGGCTACTTGCATTTGTTCGACAAATGCGAGCCACTCACAAATGGGATTCGCGAATTTCATATTCTCTCAGGCATATCCAAGAATACCAGTTAGTTACAATGGGAAGAAATTAAAACTACGGATGTGCACCTCTGTTGTTCACGTGCGTACTGCAAATTTAAGCATAACACATTCCTATCTGTCTCTTATACACATCTAGATGTGTATAAGAGACAGGTTCAGTAGTTTGAAAGAAATTTCTTGGTCACTGCAAATTTTGGCTCAAATTTCTGTATAACTCAGGAATGAAGGTGAAATGGAAAAAATTTTACAAGCTGAACATCACCGTTAGGTCTTATGAAGTTTCATCAAGATCGCATTTCATTGCTTACAAACTTTCAGATGTACGTATTGTTAAAGTGCACGAGTATCATGAATACAGGCATCGTAATATATTACATGCAAGCTTTCAGATGTATACGTAGTGTTGAAGCGCATGCGTAACATGAATACAGGCCCTATGATATATATCATATACAGACTTTCAGATGTGCGTATTAAGTTTAAGTGCGTGAATTTCATGCACACAAACATCGTAATATTTTGCATACAAATTTTCAGATGTACGTAATTGGTTAAAATGCATGAGTATCATGCATAAAAACACCGCAATATATTGCACACCTACATGCTCTTACACGTCAAGGTTAAAATAAAAATATAACATGCAAAAAATTTCCTAAAGAAAGTTTGATTCTAGCTTCTAAGTGGAAAAAAACACTGGCGTAATCTGTCCGATTATTTTTGCAAGTTTCAATACATATGATGGTTGCGTTGTCCCGGGGCTGAACATTTTACATCCGCCGCTCGTAATGCGCTGTTGGGGTCCGGGTTTTAGTCAGTACCGCAGTCGTATCTTGTCGGGTCTCGCTAAGACGCTTGTTGGCAGTCGTCATATGTTTATTGTGGAAGAGTCCCATTAGTTGGCAGTCGTTGAAAAAAATAAAGGACCAATTATTTTAGCTCGAAAGTCGTTGTAAAGTAAAAAAATTGGTCGATAACTTTAGCAAAAGTCGTTGAAATTCCAACGACTATTGCCACTGTATGAGACCTGGGAACCTGAGTCCTGAGTTGACGCGTTAGCAATCTAGTTAACTCGTATCCAACCACAACACAATGCGGATACACGTTTGTACACGTTGGTCAGTGTGAATACCTAATTTGCATTGCCGCGCGTCCATATTTAACCTATTTTAGCTTTCTAAAAGTTCGGCGCTGTCGGCGCACGGCGCATTTTTTTACCGGCATAGTACGGCGCACCGCGCAGGTCGTTAAAATGACAATATAAATTCCCGCACACCTGGCACATCTTCCTGACCATGGCCCTAGGGTAAAGGTTGCGTGCCGTCATCCCAACGTATGCAGATGCACATCATGGCCGTGCACTGTTATGCACAACTAAATTTATAAACTAGGGACGATTGCATGTGAGAAGGGAGGATATATTTGTACCTAAAAAACTAACCTATTTTGAAATTATTCACCAGTAAGAGACAAAGATTAATGTCCGGAAAGCATAGTGACAAAGCAGAGAATATTTTAGACTCTCCCTCAAGTTCATTTTTGAGTCCTATAAGTAGACCAGTAAAGTATCATGCATAGTGGCAAAGCAGAGAGTTTTTTAGACTCTCCCTCAAGTTCATTTTTGAGTCCTATAAGTAGACCAGTAAAGTATCATGGATACCAGCATTATCATACTTAAGAAATTGGTTTAAATCTTGAGTAAATGAGGAAATTAAAAATGAACNGAGGCCGCTACGTGTACT